CGGTGCCGTTAGAAGTGGACAAACAGACAAATGTACAGACAGAAAGACAGAAATTTTTGTGTTAAAAGTCTCCTAAAAAGACTATCGTCTTTAAAATACTATAACTAGTTGCACGCACTGATCGTTCGTGGAATCATAGTTTCTTCTCGGACAGATACACATAATCTAGAACGTCCCTTCACTCAACGCTTCACATTTACTTGAGAAAGCCCATGGGAGCGCCGTCTCTAGGCACGGCAAGTCACTGCATATAAGCAGTAATCTGCTGCGATTCTTGAGTAGCGCAGCGTCATTTTGAGCCAAGCTGTGGCACAGTGCCCAACTTTGTCTAACGAAGGGTGAAAGTCGAATCGAGAAGCTTATGTGAATACGGGGAGAGACACGGAAGGATTGCTTCTGCATGACACCTGTTCGCGTGCCATCTGCGCGGACTCGACGATAACTCGGGCGCGCTCACTTCTGAGCTTTACATTGTCGCGGTGTCTATAATAAATATGCACATAGTTGCACTCAGTGCAGTGCTGGACAAGAAAAGCGCCTTTCCCGTTTCTAACATTGTTAGCGTGTTCCCTCAGCCGATCGTTGAAACACCTTCCGGGCCAACTTAACAGGCACCACAGAAAAGGGGGGTACTATAGACCACTACCCGAGAACGTGCCACATACCTGCGCCTATTCTTAACTCTACATTGGGTTGATGACTACTTTTTCAGGGGATTTGTAGATTTCATGAGACTCATTAATTTGGACGGTGCAGAGAACAGCACACGAACGCCCGCACGTTTTCTGATTTTCTGAGCCTGTGTGATATATGGTGTATGTACAAAACAACAGCTATCCTTTTACGCTCTGTATTCTTGTTGCTCGGATCCTGTCTCTGCCTCTTCTCTGCCCCATTGTTCTTAGGATAGACTCAGTGACAGATGCGATAAGCGCCTCAGGACAATCTGAAGCCATAAGGCGGGATGTTCTAGCTTTGAAGCTCGCAGAAACGTTGTGAAACATGACCTGTTCAAGGCATTCTCGAGGCATGTCCATGCGATGCCTCGCTTTACGCCTGCTGTGATTGGAAGAAAAAGGAAGCAAAGGTTTCTGCGCGCGTGGTTCGTAGCACTAACAAATATTCTGTGTGATAAAAAACAGTCGTAAGTAAAAAAAAGCGTAACATGTTATTCTCGGGAACTTCTTGTGCCAACACAAGACACCTCAAACAATATTCAAACACGCCTTATGTTTGAAAGCAATCTAGTAGAACCTAGAATGGTTAGACACTAAAGAAAACGTAAAATCATCCATGTATCTGAATACTTTGACGACATGCGTGCCCTCTAACTTTTTTGCACTTTATTGCTCATTTTGGCCAAGAGTGGATAACTGAGTAGAGGTGCTACGCACAATTCAATTGAAACACCGTTTTTCTGCAGATAAATGCAATCATTCTACTCAGCGACTGTAGAGGTAAGGTACAGCAGTACAAGGTCGAATATATCTCGCGCACTGATGTCAGTTTACAATTGGAAGTTCCATTTCCCGAAGATATCTATGTTTTTCCTTATACAATTCAATATCTCATCGTGAGGCAGCGACTAGTATAGGTCATTTATGTTAATTGAAAAACCGAACACATTAGTTTGATTTAACTGTTTCGAAAATTCTCAGTACTTGCGAGTTTTTATGAGGAAGGTGTCATCGATCGTTATACAGTTTATATAGAATTAAAAATAAAGAAGCCTTTATTTAAAAAAGCGCACCATAAAAAGAATCTCGGGTGCAGACCACTACGGCGAGCTTCAGACCTAAGACGAGGATGTTGTGAACGTAGTCTTGGAGAACGACATCTCTGCAAGAGTGAACCACACCCGATAGCCGAGATATTGGGCTCTGCGCACGAAGGCTAGTTAGCTCATTTGACCACAAGGTGTTTGCATGTGGTCAATTCAGTCGCAGTACTCTCGCCATCTTTTTTTCTTCACTCCCATTAGAATATCTATTTGTTGAAGCTGGACAAGCAGGCAATCACTGCACGTGCGTTCTTGTCGGTGCCATTCAAACCTCAGAATTTTGCACACTCGTATACCATGGCCGATAGAGGGGTGCTAACTACCTAACAAGGCATTAAAGTCCAGAGGTAAGTGCTTAGTGCAAATGGAGATAGCACCAAGCCTACAGAATGGAAAAGGTAGCCCATAGGATTTAAGTCCACAAACTTAAAGAGCAGACCAAAACTTTGTCAGTTAAAAATCATTGGACCTCCAAGATAATGAAATATTATATTTAGATTATCAACGCTAACATTGTTGAGGCAAGATGCCTCGTGTCTACACAAAAACGTTTTTCAGTGTCTTTTTTTGTTTTCTTGCCTTGGGAGAGTATGCACGAGTAAATTTTTGTGCTTTGTGTTTCTGCATTGAGTTTCCCCGTTGAAATTCAGCCCTCGTCTTTTGTTCTTCCTTTATTCTGTCTTCGTATTTTGCGCTGTTTACCTCGACCCCTTAAGGAAACAAGTATGAACATGTACCCTAGACCTGCCCTTACCCTCTACACAGGCGACAGCCCGCGCAGATCGGTGTAATTCGTGACGTCGTAGTGGAGCCTCTTTTGGGGCGATCGTCTCCGCAGACAAAAGGGCGAGACGAAACCCTTTCTTTCGGCTGTCGATGTGGTACGTTCTATGCGCCGTGCCGTACAATTACTTGGAATGTTTGTGAAACCAGGAAGGGTCCACGTAAGATAGAAGCGAAGGTAAGACGGGGTGATCTCGGCGAGGAAGTTATATTGTTTGAGCGCTTCGAGTGAGTTAAGCAGTGCGCCCAGTTGATTTTGAAGAATCAAGTGATGCAGCCGTGGGAGTTCTGTGTTGACGCATGTCACCGGGACGATGATCAGTGTTGGAGCTGCAATGGCGTCAGTGTTTTCTTGAAGAAAATACACTGACAGAAACGTTCCAGAAACGCGTTAACAATTGTGTAGTACACACGTGTGGTGAATATTCAAGGCTTCTAAGTACCCTTGCGCAGTTTAAGCTGCATGGAATTGCATTTTGTACATGTTAAATTTGTTCCCGCTGTTTTATAATCCTGTAAGTAATTTTGTGATTTGTAATTGATACCTGCCGAGCATGGAAGTTTACGTGATGCTTGTACTGCCTTTAATGGGAATACGTTTTGTTTGTGTTATAAAATTTTGGTTTTAACTCGGTCTTTAAACCACAACCGCCGTTGCTGATAGAAAGACCTACTTTCGAATTGTGCGCGCTTTCTCATCTTTGCGGCGATTGCCTCCCCACGAATGGTATGAGTAACCGTTTTCATTTCAGGTGAGTCAAAGAGGCAGTATTTACGAAGAGCACTGAGGCTTGTACTCTTCAAATTGTTGGCCTTCCTGGAGCAAACTGTTAAGATATGTTGAATAATATGTACTTCTAATGGACCTTCACAACTGAACTTGTGCTGTTCAACAACAGAGAGCGTTATTTACGACATTATCGGACTTACTGTCACGCGTAGCAATGCTTGTGAAAGCGTGTCTCTGGGAATAGTTCTGACGCCAGAGCGGGTACGAGCTAAAGTAGGCTCAACCGTTCCGGTGGCACGCAACAGACTGCACCTTTTTTTACAGCAGAAGCTGTTATGAGATACCAACGACGGTTGCCTGCGAAGTAGCTACCTGCCACCGCTGCTGCCGCCGGTGTCCGTAAAGAGTATTGTGCAAAATACAAAAACTAGGTAAATGAAAAACGTCAAGGACACGATGGGATTTGATTCCGTGTCTCCTACGTGCCAGCCCAGCATTCTACCACTGAGCCACATCAGTAATTTTTTTCTTTATTGCATAGAAATAGTGCACTCAATTGTTGTTATATATGCGTATACAATTCATTATGCCTGCTCACCTGCGGGTTGCGGGATTGAACCCCGTTCGTGGCGGCTGCATTTTTGATGGTGACGAAAATGCTGTAGGCCCATGTGCTCACATTTGAGTGGGAAGTAAATAACCCCAGGTGGTTTAAATTTCTAGATCTTTTTAGTACGGTGTCCGTCATATTCGTATGAGGGTTTAGGGATGTTAAAACCCACATATCAATGAATTGCTACACGATGATTTATAGCGTAGTGGGTAACTTGCAAGTATGCTTTCACAGCTACCCGAAGAATGTTAAAAAATCTCTGAAAGGTCACTCTTCCAGCTTTCGCTTTGACAGTACTGGGCGTAACGCGCAGGCCGGGCATTTGTTCTTTAAATATTCAGCGGCTGTGCTGTTGGTTTTAAAGATGGTACCTCGGCAGCAGGATCAGGTGCATAGTCGTTTGCCTTCAGTTTTTTTCACTGGTAGTTTCTAATCGTACGCGAAGCTCCTATAGTTAAAATTCACTCGCGGCTGTAGCAGCCGTATTAATCTATTTCAACTTCTGTTTCTTTACTGAAGTGATACTGCCATGCATGCTCCTTTGTGTTTCATGCTGCCAGCTTATCGCATATGTCGGTAATCGCACCACAATGTCTTGGAGTATTCGAGATATCTCTAAATCGTTTCTTAGGCTTCGTCACGCAAACGCGAACAGCTCAGTTGATTTTAGAGCAAATGCGGTCACTAGTGATAATACTCGAACAATTGACGCAGCATGTATAAATGTCGCCGCGGCTTGGCGCAGATCAGTTGGTCGACAGCCGACGCTCTGTTCGCCACTCATTAGTGCCAGTGTGTTGCTGTATCCGGATTTTCTGCATACTGGCCACAAGTTTTACCAAATAAAAACAGTTTCATCTTGGACAGACAGCTGCCGTCGTCTACGGCATGACCAAGTGAAAGTACTCTGCCAGCAAATCAATTGTTTGCAGTGCAGTTTGGTAATATTTACCGCGTGTAGGACCTGTGAGTGCTCGGAGTTCATTGCAGAACAATTGACGTTACACTGATGGCAGAGCTCGTAAATGTCATGAATCACAGGGAATTGTATCATAGCGTTAATTTGTTCGTTTGTTTTTTCTCCTGATTGGCAGCTGAGATGAACCCGTCGGCGTACGGCGGCATCCGCAAACGCGTGACTTCCTTATTCAAGCGGCGCCTGCACGCCGTCAAAGATGAAAAGCGCAAGCGCTCTACACGGTACCAGCTCCAGGACGCGCCTTTCCGGCGTAAGCCGATCACGAAGCCGTTCGGGAAGAAGCAAGCCCCTTCGCTCAAGGATACGTCTTCAATGACGTCGACCTCTTTCCGGTCGGGACAGCAGGGCTCCGGAAAAGGTTCGCCTGTGCCAGTTGTAGGTGGCAATGCCACTGTCCGCAATACTGACGCCAAGACCGGAAGCAAGACTTCTTCAGCTCGACGGGGCAGTGGTGGTAACCAGAAGTACCACATTATGAAGCGCAGCAGCTACAGTACAGATGGCAAGGTGAGAGGCGTTGAGTGGAATGCGTTCGCGGGCACATTACTTGGTACGAGTTACTAGCCCGTGTAACAACGCAGAACGTATACCGGTACTCGGCTATATCTATTTTGTAAGCTATATCAGCTGTTGAACAGGAAATAACCTTTTGGCGCTGAAGGCGCATCAAAAAATTAATACAGCTTTGAGGTATCAACGACATACACAGTGTTTTGCGAACTGGTGCTTCAGAAGCTAGTAGACGAAAATGATGGTGATGACCTCAGATGGATGGCGCTCACCGAAAAAGGGTAAGGAGTCAAGAATCGAGCGGCAGGACAATGAAATGAAATTAAGACTAATCTGAAAAATTAGTTTAGGGATAAGTCTGTGAATAAATAAAAGTAATAAATTGTTTACTTAGTACGTATATATGGCGTTTGGGGTGCACTTTCTACTGGGTGAGTGGCTAAAGCAGCCACATGACTTTCGTACATCCATAAGTGCTGCTAACAATATTCTTTTTCTACCTAAAACTTGACTTCCCATGAAATAGTTCGAAAGTTCATCAGTATTTTGTCATAAGACTTTCAGAATTAAAGCACGGCGTCTCTGCTCACTCTATAGACAGTTTCGTCGGAGCCGGTCGATCTCTGGCAACATTGTGCGTTCGTCGGTAAATCCCCCCTGAAGACTTCCAGTTTAGCTTCTTTTTGCGTGCTTTTAGCTTTTGTTGCTGGCCACGGCTACTTGTGTTTCAATGTTTTATGCAGATAAAATATTTACGATGAAGCGCCGGCAACTCGAGCACAGCTGTATCAAACCAGGATGCAGTACTCATGCTTGAATTATTTTGTATGCTAGTCAAAACGTTCTGTTTTCTGAGCGATGACAATAAAAAGAGCGCCTGTGCTGCAGCGATCCCTCGAGAAAACTAGAACTCCAATTAAATGCGCGTAGATTTGTTCTGCCACTTCATCAAAAGGGCACAGAGGCGATACTCAGACGTTAGACTACTCAAAGGTCCCCTGTTACCGGGAACACATCAGTCACTGTCGTTTTCCATCCGAGGCAGATAAGAATACTGATGCCTGAAATGGGTAGGAAAACGTGAAGGCTAACATTAAAAATTTCTCTTAAAGGTGTTTCTTTAATAGTTTGGGCGATATAAATTATATGTACTGTTCGAAAAACATGGGACACATTATAGCCAGAATTAACGCGAATCGGCGCACCGTGTACGTTGCAGTGTCCACATTTCGTTGTCGTTGCATTTGATTTTTCGAAAGCGTCGCCGGTGAGTGGACTCTCATCTATGCGAGCAAATGACTCAACGCCAGTCTTTCTGCTACTAATGAACATAGCCACTTTCTGGCTAACTTATCCTTTAGGTGTGAACATGGGCGGTAGTTTTAAGTAGGTTCAACTTGACAGTTTGATTCATGAATAGCTTACTCGAGAGTAAACCATAATAGTTCGCGTGAGCCGGCAGCCGCAGTTGACGTCACGCCACCGTGGTGGTCTAGTGGCTAAGGTACTCGGCTGCTGACCCGTAGGTCGCAGGATCAAATCCCGGCTGCAGCGGCTGCATTTCCGATAGAGGTGTAAATGCTGTAGGCCCACGTGCTCAGATTTGGGTGCACGTTAAAGAACCCCAGGAGGTCAAAATTTCCGGAGCTCTCTACTATGGCATCTCTCATAATCATATGGTTGCTTTGGAACGTTAAACACCACATACCAATCAATGAAGCACAGTTGACGTCATCACATCTGTAAGATTTATATTTTCTCAGTCTAACACTTCGGGCTGCGAGTGATTCAATCACCGCTGAATTCTTTAAAAAGTGCCTTCAAAAAGGTTGTGTGCTTAGAGGAAAAAACACAAATATGTTCGTGGTTCCACAAGTTAAAGGTTTTCAGTTCTAGTAAAAAGCTGAATAGAACATATTCACTATAAATCGAGCAACTCTTCTCCTGCATGCTGAGGATGTGGGTGTGCTTAAAAGACGCGGACAGAAAAAATGTGAGTGATTTTAAATAAAAGAACAGAAAAATGAGCCCCGTATTTGTCCCTCAGGGGGAGGACACCTCAACAGCAGCTCACGAGGGGGGTGGGGTATGAAGAGATTAAAAGGTCAGGACTAAAAGGTATAGAGATAGAGAGAGGTGGAAGAGAGAGTGTGGTGCAGGGGAAGCGGCTTACGGAAGTAAGGAGAAGATAGGCAAGATGGGCATGGTCGCAGGAGTTTGAGGGTGGAGCGAGAGCTCTTGTGGGTGTTTTCAAATAGCGTAGGGTGAGCCCAGTCTGCCATCGCCGACTGGGCTCACACTACTAAGTTTCTACTACTTCTACTATCTACTATTACTTCTACTAACCCCCGTACATTTTGTGGTAACCTCTTGCACCAGCTATCTAGAGATAGCGCCACGTGTTGTGCAGTAGCGGTGTGCGTGGCCCACTGGCGCTCTTGAAACATTGGGGGATTCTTAAGCTTCACCTCTAAGAGTTGAACGCGATAGCGAAATGTGGCCCCTAGGGAGCCTTTCAACCGCTAAGCGCATACTTATTATTATGTTTTTTTGCACGCACACACACACACACACACACACATTGGACCAGGGCGCGCGCGCGAATAGTACATACAGGTTTTTGATCTAAAGCAGGAGTGCCATAGCCGCCTATATCGCGTGCGCACGACCACCGTGCGCGCCGATCAAGGCAGCCATGATGGGGGCTTAAGAGTCTCACAATGCCCCACATATGGCAGCAAATTATCTAGTGTATTTAGACAACAGCAGAATACTAAGCCAAAAGAAAACATTGGTTAAGTAGAAGGGGAAGAAAACAGAGAGGAACACGTGGAAGGTGGGAATGCTTACGAAATCGTCACCGGAGACCCACCAAAACTTTAGGCATGGAATTGCAAGGGAAAAGATCTACGATAATTCTCGCGGTAGTTCTCTGCTTTTCGAGGCTAGAACGGGAGTGTAGCATGACCAAGACGTACTGAGCAAAATACGAAGGCGCAGGCACGGTATGTAGTGTGTGTGGAGAAGAGGAGAAAACGGCTGAACATTTTATAATGTTCTGTAAAGAGCTCCACCCTATAATCGAAGACAATGGCGCTGCATTTTTCAAAGCATTAGTGTTTAGGGACAGTGAAGCGAAAATAGGCTTTAAACGGCTAAAAATAACCAGGAGCAGACTAACTGACTTGTGGCTACAATCGAGGCGCGAATGAAATTCAATCTTCAACACAGAGTGATAGTACTGAACTTTATAGCTAGGTGACATGAGCCGATCTTAAGGCTCATGTCACCTAGGTGACCCGATCTTAAGGGTACAGCCGGATACACTCATCCATCTTTTGTCATTTGCTTGATCAACGCTTCTGGAAAAGCATTATAGGTTTTCTGCTAGCTGGCCATACTTGTCAGTTTTCAGAGCCGTTTGAAAGTTCTTATGTGTTTTTAGCGGCGATGGCTGCACTATCCCAGTCTTTTTCGACGTAGTTTGATAACCTCCGAAACGCGGCTACAAATCGCCGAATGGGCCGTTTTCTTCGTGTTACCTGTCTAACTATATGCGTTAAGGCGATTCCTTCTACTTGAAGGCATTTAGTGTTTTCTCCCAAAACCCCGCAAGTAACAATGTAGCTTTGTGGTAAATCACCTGCTTGCCACGCGAATGGCCCAGTCTTAATCCCCAGTGAGACCATAAATTTCAATCTTCATTTTGCTGGCTTCTTCTTGATTTTTCGCTCAAGGATGATTTTTTACTCACAACCAACAGTTCAACGGGGCCGATGCCGACGGTGGAATTTCTGCGACACCAGCACTCTAACGCTATCGCATTAAAAGGGCCAGCCTGCGTTCTGCCCGAGGGAGAAGTACCTGTGCTGCCACGAAGCATAGATGACATCTGCCAAGCTGGCTGATTGAAGCTGCCCGAGTATCACGGTCACCGTGCCACTGTTTCGTCTCTGGGGCGACCCTACCGTATGCCACACTTAGTTAAATAAATGCTGTTGTTTGTTTTTACGTGAAGCCTGCGCACTTCTTGCTTTACCTACGAATGGGGTGCAGCATACCTGATACTCACAACTTCCACTCGAAAGATTGTCTGTTAGATCCTATTATTACAGCCAAGTTCTATGTATTTCTTCACTACAGTGCGCGAGAACATCAGCATTTATTGGCGTTATTCATAATAGCAAGAAGACCTATAAAGCAAATATTTATTTTTTTATCACTTTAAGTACCCACGGGGTGTACTGAGAATCACTTTTTGCCCTAAAAGCAATTTTAAGCAAGCGAGAGACCATTTTGCCTAATCATAATTTGGAAGAATGAGAGTGTGAGGGCTCATCTGTTTCAGAAACAGCCTTTAGAGTAATTTTTTACCCTGAACACCCATCAGAAGGTCAGAGTGCCCTCTGTTATAGAAACACCGATGGTTGATGCGACAGTGTGCTATGTGATAACTTGGACACGCTGATTAAAAAGCTGCTTGAAAATAAATGATTTGAGACGAAAAGGTCTGTAACTTTCATTGCTATTTGCAAGCCTACCATAAGTTTGCGCTAATATGAATAATGCGTAATGCTCATTTATACGGAACAACAATATCTCCATCGAAAAAACCGGTAGTTGTGGCTTTACGCCTTTTCACCATGTACAAACCAGACACTTAATTCTTTGTGGTCTTGTCTACCGACGCAGCATTGCAGTGTCGAAGATTGTAGCGCTGGGCATCCGTCACTTGCTTTCAGTACGCTCAAGAGGCTCAGCATCTGCTGAGCCTCTTGAGCGTACTGTTGAAATATTGCTACGTCAGGGTTTGGGTCACTTCTGTTTACAAGCGGTAGCATGGCGTCCACAGTTGTCGCTTCCCGGTCATAAACAAGAAAAAATGGCGTGAGCCCAGTTTCCTCCTGAACGGCCGTATTATAAGCCAAAGCGACAAATGGAGGCACCTAATCACACCTTTTGTGTTCAACATCGACGCACATGGACATCATGTCCGC